TGATGATAACACCTGTTGTTAACGTAAATATAGTGGCAATCAATTCAATGCTTGTATTAAAACACCCATTTCTATACACATATCATATTTGATATTTGATACTAAATTAAGGCAAACTTTTGATTATAATTGTAAACAATTGTTGGCAACCAATTGATCCATTGGTTAATCATCGGTGGTTACGAAAGACCAACAAAATAGCCATAATTATGGTCATAACAATTAACACTAATTGTGTCCAAATATATAACATTTAATCATTTATAGTCTGATCTGTATTTTGTGATAATTTAAATTTAATTTTAAAATTAAAGTTCAATTGATTTCGAAATGATAGCAAACATTGATTTGATGGTCAAATGAAGACAATCTTACCAACAGTTAAGAGTATATATCTTGAGATGTCGTTCAATGTCTCGCGAATCCATCGGTGAATGTATTGAATGGTTAACTAAATTGAAATTAATTTGACTATAAATTAAGTGCACTTTCGATGAGTTGTTGCCAAACACTAACTGACAGACAACACAACACAACACAAGTTGTTTACTATTCGTGTTTCTATGGGTTGTTTCGCGTCTGACAATTACAGCATATTTATTACACAACTTCTATTATAGCGTAACTTAACTTACAATAAGTTACTCAATATTTTATAAATTTACTCAAATTACTAAAAACAAGTCTAATATAATTAAAGCTATTGTATATCAATTAATATTCAATTATTTTTATTTAGTAATTTCAATAAATTTTATCAAATATTTGACCATACACAAAAGTAAATATTTTTTAATACTTTAAGCATCACTGATGCATGTGATGCCGGCATCATTAAAGTTTTAATATACAGTACTACTGGTATAATAGAAACTTTTAATCTATATCACTGTTAATAAACAACTCCACACACAGCGTTGCAATTAATTAAAAATAAATTTATAACTTATAAAATCATTTATTGATGTTTATTAAAATTACAACTTATTCACGAATGTCTTGATCGGCATCTTTAGGGTGTATTTGTGCGGGAAATTTGTCGCCCCATCGGCTCGTCTTAGCGCACTGGTAGGCATGCCTTCAGTCAATATAAACAATCAATTGAAATAATAATACGGTATAAGTAATGAAAAAGTATAGCAATACTTGTCGTGATTAGATTTGGTAATTATAAGTTCTTTGATTTGTCCATCACTGCAACACATCCGACAAATAGCCTTATGATGACCGGTGAGGACGGGCTGAACAATTCGGGGCCAACTCTTCATTTCTTTATACGTATAGATAGTTCTTAAAGTTTGGTGACATGAAAAAAGTGAGGCAATAATTACCGGGTTGTTGTTGTCTTCCCTTTCGTAATACTACATAAGAATATCTCTCTTTTCCTGTCGTTATACTCTTTAGCCATGAATACAATACAAAACGATACAAATGTTAAATATTTTTATACAGATATACAGTTGTTATATAACAAAACAAATGAAACCTTTTGTCCGAAACGCAACGGATTATAAGTGATTTCGAAATTGCAGAGAACGGGTCCTTTGGTTGACTGTCGCGGACACGTCAAGTCGTGCGAACACTTATGTCATAATTACAATTAATTTGATTACTGATGTAAATCCTATAAATGATGTCTGGCTTCGCTTACGGGTGCAATAATAGTGGCCTCAGAGGCGTTGTGATCAGTGGACAATTGCTTATCGCCGGGATTATGAGTGAAATGAGCGGTTACTTTATGTCCAGACAATTGCAATATAAGATTCCTGGCTTCGAGAACAGCGGCAAAGCCGGCGCGACTGCCGTGTTCTGCGATCACCAAAACGTCTTGCGTTTTGTGCCACAGATTCTCAATCACGTGAATCCGATTCTTAGCGTCGGGTATATCGAGCAATGAAAAGGCGGAAACCACTAAATCGTATTTAATCTATTGTTTACAAATATATGTCAGCGTTTGAAGCAATAAAACACGAGTGATTCAAAGTGAGGGCAACTCACGGTATGAGAGACCGGCAAATACTGGCGATAGAAGACCGGATCAAAAAGCATTTTCTTGTTCTCTTCCCCTCCTTGCAGAAGAAGTCTCGAGAGATCATTCATTTCCGCGCAAATATCGACACAAAAATATTCGTCAAACCCTTTATGCCAGACCTGATTGACAGCCCATACGGTTGTGCCGACACCCGAACCGAAATCAAATATAGTTCTCGGCGTAAAGTCTGGTATTTCTTTCCTTATCTTTACAATAAATATTTAAATATTATTGCAAAACATTTTATGGTATAATTTGTGGGTAAAAATACTTCATTAAAAATGGATACAAGTGTCGCATAATTGGCCGGAAGTCTAGCCGTCATATAAACAGCAGATGAATACTCATTATATCTGCAAATAAATAAACATAAATTAAATGTTAAATAAAATCACTAAAATAGAGACTCTATTGGCTGGTGATTGAGAAGCGAGTCCTTAAGACTTCTTTCCAACTTTTTTTGCCTGTTGTCTAAGATATCATTCCTCTGGTCTTCAGTCAATGGTTTTAAATCAATTTTCTCTAAAAATTCAATTTTAAAAACATTTAATAAATTTAATTTTTAAGAGAAGAAGTGAGAGCAGTGTAGCCAACCCTTGGCAATGATCCGGTCTTTAATCTCCTGTTTCTTGCGATGAACTTCTTGTGGTTCAGCGGGTAATTGATGTGACACTACTCTCTCATTCATATCTCTCACGTCTTCCTTGAATTGAAGGCAATTGTGTTCTGCAATCAAACCGTAAATGAGATCAAAAGTGAGACCCAAAAAGAGATGAAGACATTACTGTTGATGACATGATTGGCCGCCAATTCTAGTTTGTATGGAAGCGTTACAGTTGTGGCCCGTCTTCGGCCGCTATGCTCTCGATATCTGATTCCGGACTCAAACTCTTTCTCCACGTCTTCGTACAAATCGGCCACAAATTTAGGTTTACTTGAAGTCCACTAAAAGTTGTGTTTATTTTGTGTTACAAATTATGTCCGAAACTCATATCAAACAACACTTACTCTTAAGACTTGACTTTTATAATGGTTTGCATTTGAATACAAATTGTAATAAATGTTACGATTTATTCGTTTAAACATTTTTATTCATTAAAACACTTTTAAATTTAGATTTTTAAAAACTTTAATTTAATTTGTAATCACATGTTATGTTACATAACGTGTGTAAACATATGTAAACACTATTCATAAAGTCTGTGAAAATTATTTGTAAAGTTGTTGAAACTTCTCTGATTCACTGATGGGAACATTTAACAGTAAATATTGATTGCAATTCTAATTCTTTGAATGACAAACATCAAATCAAATAGTAATACAGTATCTGCTTTATAGATATACTGCACGATATACTGTACTTACAATTATAGTTGACTCGAAACACGCTATTAACGTAATATACACTTTTTATGTTGAGCCATATTTAACCAAATAGTAGTCAAGTGGCACTTAAGTGGGCATTAAAATCAACTGAATTAAAGACATGTTTGTCTTGTAGTGTCGGGTGTTATGTGTGGGCAACGAATGCGGGGATAAACATGTTTGGGTCAACTGTTTGCAAATCTCATCACAAAAATATAAGACATAAATTGTACATTCATTGCACAAATTGATCCAATAATAGTAGACATTAATATTAATATAACAACCCATTCATAACACATCAATCAATCAATTCATAGTAATCAGTGGTTTATAAGTTTTATTTTATTTTCAGTAAATCATAACTAAATTTATACACAAATACTCAATTTTATAAATAATTATAACTCTAACTATAATTTAAGTAATAATTAAATAATTAAATCTACATTTTATGCAGAATTAGACGACAAAAAACCAATTATAAAATTAAATCAAAAGAAAACAGTTATATTGAAAAATATGTTTATG